CAACCTTGGGTTTGCCAGTCTCAGCAGCCAGCAGCTGCTTGAATTAAGAAAAGCCTCCAGCCAGCTTCAGTGGGCCAGAAGCAAGAGGCAGAGTTGAAGCCTAAGGACAAGGGGCTTTCACCCAGTCCCTACAGCTTGGCACTTGGAACTCAGACATGTAGCCTCTTAAACTGTAAGAGAATAAATCCCTGTTTGACTTAAAGCCATCCCATTTGTGGTATATTTGTTAGAGTGGCACTAGAGGACCAAGACAGATCTAATTTTGTTCAATGAAAGATTATCAAAAACAAAATGTATGAGCAACAGAACAAAAAAATGGATAACTGGGACCTCATAAAAGTTAAATACTTATGTTCATCAAATGACATTATCAAAAGAGTAAAAAGAGAGCCTATAGAGTGGGAAAAAAATATTTGGGAGCTATATAACTGATAAGGATCTAATATCTAAGATATAGAGAAAACTTCTACAACTTAACAACAAAAAGACAAACCTAGTCAAAAAATAGACAAAGGACATGATGAGACACTTCACCAAAGAAGATATGCAAATGGCCAACAGACATATTAAAAGATGCTCAACATCATTAGCCATCATAGAAATGTAAATCAAAACAACAATGACATAACCACTTCACTCCCACTAGGCTGGATTTTTTTAAAAAAAATCAGAAAATAAGTATTAGAGGAGATGTGGAGAAATAGGAACTGCTAAAGGGGCAGGAAGGCGGCATCTTCTGACTTCCTCTAACTACAAAAGAGGAGAACAGAATCACCATCAGCAGCCCAATGCCTGCTCCTATGAGGCCAGACATGCCGCCACCCTCCAGCCCTCTTACTAACCTTACTTACCTCCCTCAGCACCCATCCATCTCTGTCCTGGGTTCAATAATTCACTGCAGTGGCCACACACAACTCACACATTATGGGGTTTATTAGGGAAGCAACAAGCTACAATTAAAGTTCAGGAACATGCTCAGTCTCTCTCAGCTGGCCATCTCTCAGCTGCCAGTCTCTCTCAGTAGCACATCTTTCTCTCAGCAGTACATGTCTCTCACATCTCTCTCTCAGCAGCATGTCTTTCTCAGCCAGCAGTCAGAGACAGACTCTCTCTGCCTCTATAGGAGGGCTCATTTTGAGCCTCCCAGAGTGGCAAAACTAACCAATCCCAACATCAGAATTCTACACACCTGAGAGCGTGTGAACTTCCCAGAAGATTTCTTTGTGTTGCTCCAGGTGGATGAATTTAACAAGCAGCTACTCAGTTACTCACGGCAGAGTGGGAGTTAGAAATACTATAGCTAGAAAAGCCATAACATGTAATCGCTACACCACAGGAACACTTTTCCCCCATTGTTGCAATGGGAGGAATATAAAATGGTACCGCTGTTATGGAAAACAGTCTGGAAGTTCCTCAAAAAGCTAAAGGTAGAGCTGCCATTGTTGTTGTTTTGTTATGTGCCATCAAGTCAGACCCGACCAATAGCAACCCCTCCTTGGGTTTCCGAGGCAATATCACTACAGAAGTATATGACCCAGAAATTCCATTTCTAGGTATATACCCTAGGGATCTAAAAAAATGACAAACAGACAAATGTTCATTCCAGCACTATGTATAATAGCAAAAAGATAGAAACAACGTAAGTTCCTGTCCACAGGTGAATAGGTAAAATGTGGTACATACATACGATGAAATATTAGTTAGCAATAAAGAAAAATGAGTTTCCAAAACATCTCATAACATGGATGAACCTGAAGGACATTATGTTGAGGGAAATAAGTAAATTACAAAAATATATATTGTATGTTCTAACTTTTATGAAATGATAAGAACAAACAAATACACACAAAAAAATGTTCATTTGTGGTTACCAGGGATGGGGGGCAAGGGAGAGAGGGATTCACTCTAAATAGTAGGCACTTGTTACTTGTGGTGATGAGAAAGATAAAATCGAATGGGGGTGAAGTGTGCACAGTCTGACAAATGTAAATGATTATACTAAAATGTACTCAAGAGAAAAAAGACCTTTTGGTAATTTTTATAGCATATATAATTTTGAAACAATAGCAACAACAACCAAAAAAATGTATGTGCATGTAGACATATGTATGTCTATAGGTGTATAAGAAAAACCTGGGAAAGTTGGAACCTGTGAAAGGCAGAAACCTGTCAGAGAAGGAAAACTCAAATATTTTCCACTAAAATGAGTGATAGAAAATTGGTAAGACTGCACTTTGTCAAAGATGGAAAACTTATGAGACGCAGAAAAACAAGGCAGTCCTGTCAATTCTGGCTCTGAGTATATGTGTGTATGTATGTATATGTGTGTGTATATATACTACATATATATATATATAGTCAACAAAAAACTAATGCTGTCGATTAGATTCCAACTTACAGTGACCCTGTTCAGCAGAGCAAAACTGCCTCATAGGGCTTCCAAGGCTGAAATCTTTACAGAAACAGACTGCCACATCTTTTTCCCATAGACCAACTAGTGGGTTCAAATGACTAACCTTTTGATGAGCAGCCAAGTGCTTTAACCACTGCACCACCAGGGCTCTTGTGTGTGTGTGTACATATATATATATATATATGCATGTATGTGACTATATGACTCATAGCAACCTCTCCTTGAGTTTCTGAGGCGGTAACTCTACCGAAGTAGATTGCCAAATCTTCGTTCCAAGGAGTGGCTGTGGGTTTGAACTGCCAGCCTTCTGGTTATCTGTCAGATGCCTTAGGCACTACACCACCAGAGCTTCCATACAGATATATAATAATGCACATAGGGTAGTTATACTTTTTTAGACATAAATATCTCCCAGGATTTGTTTCCTGGGTTAAAAGTAGTAGACCATAGAAGAAGAAGTAGACCATAGAAGAAGTAGACCATTGTCTTGTGTGACATCTTGGTCAATTGGCATATGTTCTGGTTACCTAGTGCTGCTGACAAGAATATCTACCACAAATAGGATGGCTTTCACAAATAGGAGTTTATTCTCTCACAGTTTGGAAGCTTTAAGTCCAAGTTCAAAGTGCCAGGCTCTAGGGGCTGTGTGAAAACTCCTCGACTTTGGGCTTCAGCTCTGCCTCTTGCTCCTGGCACGTTGAAGCTAGAGGCATCTCTTCACTCAGGCAGCTACTGGCTGCTGAGGCTAACAAGCCCAAGGTCAACAAATAAAATGGCACAGTCCCGATGTTACCAAACCACATGGCAGGCCATTAATTCAAGTCCATTGAGTCATAAGGTTCGGCAGAGCATGGCAGGCTGCTGTACAACAACACGGCTACATGCAGGGTCCAAGCACGCCATAAACTAGAGACCATTTCCAAAGCTGTTTCTTATATACAGGAAGCAGACCACATACCCAAAGCAGCTACTCAACTGCTCCAATAGATTCCACCATAAGAGTTAATCACCAGTCTCACCAAGGGGAATAACTACATTCAGCTGCCCAGCCACTCAACCAGGCCCAGCTAAACTGACACACAAACGTAACCACCACAGCATAAAATACATAAAGTTGTGTTCTACATCCTAGTTTGGTGAGTAGTGTCTGAGGCCTTAATGTGGGAGCAACCATCAACTATTGGTCTCTATTCATCTGGAGCAAAAGAGAGAGAAGGAAGCCAAAGACTCAAAGAAGAAACTAGTCTATGGGGCTAATAATATAGAGGAGCCATGGCCTCATCTACCTTGAGACCAGAAGAACTAGATAGTGCTCAGCTACCACTACTGCATTCTGCTCAAGGCCACAATAGATAGATCCTGATAGAATGGGAGAAAAATGTGCGATAGACTCTCAAATTCCTTTAAAAAAAAAACAAAACAAAAAACTTACTAGACACTTACTAGACTGGTTGACACTGCAGGACTCCCTGAGACTACTGCCCTGAGATACACTTTAAACTTGAACCAAAAGTAGCCCCTGAGGTCACCTTTTAGCAAAATAACAGATTAGTTTACAAAATAAAGAATACCACCGGGGAGTACTGTGCTCCTTAAAATCTCATCTATATGAGACCAAATGATCAAAAATTACTTTAAAGTAAAAATGAGAAAATAAAGGGGCAGGAATAACTAGACTAATAAAAAGGGAACAACCAGAATGGAAATAATTAAAATGTTCACACATTGTGAAGAATGTAACCAATGTCATTGAACAATCTGTGCACAAATTGGGAACCTAAACTGCTGTGCAAACCTTCACCAGAAATACAATAAAATATTACATACACACACACACTCTTATACTAAACTCACTACCATCAAGTCAGTCCCGACTTATAGCAACCTCTCCTTGGGTTTCTGAGGCAGTATCTCTGCAGGAGATTGCCCAGTCTTCTTACCATGGAGTAATATATAAAATTAGAATCCCCTGGGCATATTACTAGAGCTCAGAGAGCCACTGCCCAGCTGGTGTCTGGGGCTGATTCTGAGTGTTTTTTTTTTTTTTAATTAAAAAAAAAAGCATGCACGTTGCAGCCTGGCCAACAGGAACTGCAAGTCCACAACAGACCAAAAGGAAGGCGCATACTCCTCTCCCTGTTTTTGCCTGGCATCTTCCTTGAATGCCTCTGTTGGCAGAGCCTAATGAGAGCAGCTGACACAGCAGACTGTGCCTCTCAGAGTCCTAACCCCAGCACCACAGTGAAGACCACAGGTTGGAGGGCTGCAGTAGGAGGCAACACCTTAAGTCATTGGCCCACAAGAGTGGGAGGAAGGTCTACACTGAGCAAGAGAGGTGATGTGGTCTCTGAAGCATGCCACCCTCAGTATCTGTGACGAGCCATGTCTGCAGTGATCCAGTGCAGTTTGGGCATCTTTGCTGAGTGCTCCCTGGGTAGTGATGCCCAGAGTACACCCTGCCCAGGAAGTACACCTGGCTCAGGGAGGAGAAGTGTCTGTCCTTCCATAGACCCATCAGGGCTGTTGGCAGGGGGAGCAGAGGACCGGGGGTGCCTGCTGACCAGCCTGTCCCTGACTCTCTCCACAGCTGATCAGTGATGGCAGCGTGGTCTGTGCTGAAGCACTCTGGGATCATGTCGCCATGGATGAGCAAGAACTGGGCTTCAAAGCTGGGGATATCATCGAAGTGATGGACGCCACCAACAGAGAGTGGTGGTGGGGTCGCATCACAGACGGCGAGGGGTGGTTTCCAGCCACCTTTGTACGGGTACAACTCCACCTGAGGTTCTCCTAGTCCCTCTGCAGATAAGGGCTGTCAGACCCCTGCCTAACTGCCCAATAAAGAGCCACCTAGCTCTCCTCAGAAACCCAAGCCTGACATGGCCTGAGCTAACTCAGGCCACCAATCGGCCAGGGCCTGAGGCACAGAGTTGGACCTCCCACTTCTCCCTGCATGTGGGCTGAAAGGGTGGGTGTGTGGCTGGAGGGCCAGTTCCTCCTCCTCCAGAGCTGCCACCTCCTCCTATCCCTGTGCCCCAACCCCCTTCTGGATGGCCCTTGGTGACCAGTAAGGAAAGCAATTCAGAAAGGACTGGTGTGTGGATACAGAACTCCACCCCTCCGAGGGAAACTGGCACATTTAGAATAACCGTACCACAAACAACTTCTTTACCAAGCATTTACTTACTAAAGCCCTGTGCAGAGCATTTTATGTGGATTATCTAATCTAACTCATGTAACTCTATGAGATGAAAACCAGTATTTGCACGAGGAAACTGAGGTACAGACGTTCCATGTTAGCCTGAGACCACAGCTGAGGACCCAGAATTCCACCTAGGTGGCCTCTGGTCTCCAGGGAAGGAGTTGAGATACATCTCTAAGGCTCAGCAGAGGGCATCAAGGGATGGCCCATTTCACCTGGGTCATGCTTCTCTTGAAGCCCATAACTCTGGCCTCAAACCCTTGATGACCTGTGTATGCTGTGCCCCAAACTCTCCTAGTCCAGGTCAGAGCCCCAGCCAGGCCCTGTCAGCCCCAGAGAACTCAAGGTGTGAGCAGGCACAACTCAGAAGGTATGTCTGAGCACTGCTCTGTTGCAGGTGCTGTGCTGAGTATAGAAAGACTAGACATTGCAGGAGCATAAGGAGGCCTTGGATGGTCTCTGGAAAACACGGGCAGTGACGACTGCCCTCAGCAGCAGTCCTGGGCTGGGAGCAGCATGTGTGCCTGTCAGGGGTTTCCAATCGCCCCTCCATCTTCACAGGACCCCTACCTGCCTGTCCAGCCTCTGACCCAGTCAGACCCTCCTTCCAAGGCTCATTTCCCCTGCCACCCTGCTGGGTGGGGGCACTGACCCTTCTTGGGGTGCCAGGTGCAGGGTTCTGACCCTTCCTGGGGCACTGACCTTCCATGCATTGCCTGCAGCTGCGGGTGAACCAGGATGAGCCCGCAGACGAGAACAAGGCCTTTTGGGCTAGGAACGATAGCAGGGTTGCAGACGGCAAGGCTGAGGACTGCAGCTTAGTGCAGAGCAGCAAAGACCAGATGCGCACCAACGTCATTAACGAGATCCTCAGCACCGAGAGGGACTACATCAAGCACCTGCGTGACATTTGCGAGATGAGGGCCAGGTGGAGCACCGGGATGGGGATGGCCGTGGGGGTCCTGGGACCGCCCTGATTACCCCTGACCCCCCAGGGCTACATTAGGCAGTGCCGCAAGCGTGCAGACTTGTTCAGCGAGAACCAAGTCCGCACCATTTTTGGGAATATCGAGGACATCTACCGATGCCAGAAGGCCTTCATCAAGGCCCTGGAGCAGAAATTCAATGGCGAGCACCCGCACCTGAGTGAACTGGGCTCCGGCTTCCTGGAGCATGTGAGTGCAGCCCTGCCAATTCTCAGCATGCCCTCAACACACACCCTGGCCCTGGCTTGCTCCCACCCTGCTCTCTGCTCTCCTATGTTTAGTCTCCTTGCATCCTTCCAGAGACCTGCCTAGCAGGCAACCTGCTCTCTTCGCAGAAGATTCCAAATGTTCTGAGTGGACTCTGCTCTCATGCCTCCACCTGACTAACTGCCCTCACCCTTCATCACCATTTTAGGAGTGACACGCCAAGGAAGTAGGGACCTACCAAGTCCAGGAAAGCTCCTTGGAGTAGGGAAGGCCTAGGCTTGAGGGAGGGATCTGCTGCGGCCAGAGATGGGCCACCTGGGGTTCCTCACACAGTACACAAACTATGGTTTATTTGCACTTACAGTACTTGTCCTTTCTATTCCAGCTGGCACATAGCCAAGACTCTGGTCTGCGTGGAAAGAGTTTCTTGTCTGTATCCCCCTCTCTAACAGTCTCTAGGTCCTTAAGCAGAAAGTACAAAGCCAAGACAGCCCATCAGCAGGCTACTTCTAATGCCACCCTAGGGAATGGGGAACCAGGGAGACAGTGCAGTGGTATAGGCAGACTGTTTCTGTGCAGGTGCAGGTGGTATGCTTGGGCAGCAGGTCTGGGCACCTAGGTACGTGAAGCTGGATCCAGCAGGCTGAGTTGTGGCTTAGGGAAGGGAGAATGGGGCTGATCTCTATGGAGAGGCAGTTCCAGAGACAGGCATATTGCCTAGTGTGGCCATCACAACCTCCCCCAGGAGGGGTTGTCCCCTCATTTCACCTGGTCCAGGAATCCCAGAGTATTACCTGACTTGCCCAAGGTTGCTTGATGGTGGAGCTGGGCCCTCTGCCTCCAGTAGGTGTAGAGGGAAAGGAGGCAACAGCGAGCCTCATGCATGGCACAAGGATGTGGGTGAACATGTCACTGTGTGAGGCAGTGGTGGCAGTGTTCATTCAGATAGGGACCAAGGACTTTTTGAGGAGGAAACAACCTAGACCAGCAGCTAGTCATAGATGATGTACCCCTGTGAGCTCTCTTAATAAATCCATTTCTAGTTTCTATGAATCAGCAGTGCTTACCCTCTGCCTCTCATTTTTGGCTTCCATACCATTCCTGTTGTTGTTGTCGTGCCGTCGAGTTGGACCTGACTCATAGCGACCCTTCCTTGGGTTTTCAAGGCAGTATCACTACGGAAGTACTTAGTCTTACTGATTTCATTAGAAAACTTGACGTACAGCCAAACTGTGTGCCAAAGAGAAGCTGAAAAAGCGGGGGTGGGGGTGAGGTGGGTGGCGGGTGGCGGGAATGATGTGTGTGTAGCATACCGGTGGTTCTCAGTTTCAGAGTTTTCTTACCCTTGGGCTTTGAGTGTTTAGCTGGTGCTCTATTCAGGGAGACTGGGACCAGCACTCCAAACAAACAGACTCCCCCCAGCCGGGAACTTACCTGGAGATAGGCAGGGTACAGTTGTCCTGATCTCCAGCTATGTCCCTCTAGCAAGCTGACTTCCAGATCTACTCAGAGTATTGCAACAATCACCCCAATGCCAGTGTAGAGCTCTCTCGGCTTGCCAAGCTCAGCAAGTATGTGTACTTCTTCGAGGCCTGCCGGCTGCTCCAGAGGATGATTGACATCTCCCTGGATGGCTTCCTGCTGACACCAGTACAGAAGATCTGCAAGTACCCTCTGCAGCTGGCTGAGCTGCTCAAATACACACCCCCCCAGCACAGGTATGGGTGCTACCAGGGTTCCCAGAGGGGCTCTGCTTGCCTCCCTTCAGACAGCAACTGTGCCAGGTCCTGCTATCAGCACTAGGCAACAGCAAGAGAGAGTAAACCAAGAGTCCCTGCTCTTGTGGAGCGGTCTGTGCAGTTGGGGTGGGAGGGTTAAAAAATTAAGTAAGTCCCACTCTGAAACTTCCCTGAGCAGGACCACCATAATTGAAGCTCTGGCTGGCTCCAGAGGCATGCAGGAGGGTCCCAAGCCCTCCTACTGCCCTCCAGCTCCCCTGCTGTGCTTCACGGATTTCAAGGACGTGGAAGCTGCCTTACACGCCATGAAAAACGTGGCCCAGCTCATTAACGAAAGGAAACAAAGACTGGAAAATATCGACAAGATTGCCCGGTGGCAGAGCTCCATAGAGGACTGGGAGGTGAGGGCCAGAGGGCCCAGAAAGACCCAGGACCTTGGCCCCATACTTTAACACTGCGCTTGTGTCTGAGAATTGGGGATACTGGGTCTGAAGCAGGGACCATGCTCCTGGAAGCTAGTAAGCAGGGGCTCATGGCAGCAGAGTGGGTCTTCTGCCTGGCCCTGCCTCACCAAGCTCCAGGAGCAGACTTCAAGGGCTGTTTTGTCCCAGTGAAAGGTGAAGAGTATAGGGCCTTTATGCAAAGACAATGCTCTTCCCTTCCCTTGGACAGACAGCCAGCCCCAGAATGGGGCCCCACACAAAAGCCATTATGCAACGTGCCATTCCACTGCCCTGACTGCAGGTGGCAGGCGGACTCCTGAGCTTTAAGCTAGTGGAGGACACCAGGAGAGGAGCTCAGGCCCCAAAAGGACCATCACAGTCAGAGCTACCTGGTTCTAGTTTGCAGGAAACAATCTTGCTTCTGAAGCAACACATAGCAAAACCAATTTGCTCTGTAAACTGACCCAAATCACAGTAACAAGAAAAAAGAAAGGAAAAAAGCAACACCTCAGCCTGAACTAGGGTGACTTTCCCACCAACCAGGCCCTCAGTGTTCCAGAGGCTATTGGGAACCCTCCACCTCTTTACCTGGCCACTCCCCATCATCCCCCTCCCCCACTTATCTGCTTCTTCCCTGAGACCTTGCTCTCTGTGCCACACTGCCCACAGGGTACTGCCACACCAGTCTCATCCTTATAGGCCCCTGCACAAATCAACCAAGAAGACACATCAGAATCAGCCTTAGAACTTTGTAAAAATATAGATGCTTGTGCCCAACCTTAAATATAATGAATTAGTATCCTTGGCATGGGGGGTGCTGAACAATGTTTACTTTTTCTTTTACCTTTCCCTAGTGATTGATTCTGAGGCCCACCCCTGGTTAAGTGTACCTACAAAATACCAACTTAAAGGCTGTCTGCAGCTTCTGTTTGTTGGTATCTTCACTGAGGAACCTGAAGGAGGGCAGGCTTGGTCGGGAAGTCTGAAGTCCCAGTAAGAGAACTTTAGGTTTTAAATGCATTTCACTGGGAAGAAAACTTCCTTTGAAGCCGTAAATACCAGACTCAGAGTGACTTCCAGCCAGGCTTAATTATTCTGTAGAGCAACACTATCCAACAGGAATACAATGTGAGCCACACGTAATTTTATACTTTCTAGCACAACCATCTTGGGAGCTCTGGTGGCGTAATGCCTAAGGCATTTGACTGCTAATCAGAAGGCTGGTGGTTCAAACCCACCAGCCACTCCTCAGAAGGAAGACTAGGCAATCTCTTTCCATAGAGATACCACCTCAGAAACCCAAGGAGGGGTCACTGTGAGTCGGACTGACTCAACAGCAATGAGTTTGGTATTTGGTTTTGATCACCCATCTTAATAAAAGAAAAAAGGACAACAGGTAAAACAAATTTTAATAATTTTTAGCTCTATATCCTGAATATTATCATCTCCACATGTAATCAATATAAAATATATTTAATGAAATATTTTACATTCTTTATTTCATACAAAGTCCTCAAAAATAGTATGATTTTTACACCTACATCATATCTCAAGTGGCCATACTTCAAGTGCTCAATAGCCACGTGGGACTCCAGGCTGCCTGTTTTACAAAGATAACCAACTCATAGGGCAAACATGGCCTTTCTCTTGCCACCTTTGCTACACCCTCAATACTTCCCTGCAGGCCCAGCTACCCCTTCCACCATGGCCTGTCCTAGCTGCTATAGTCCTTGGCCCTATAGGTGCCACAGCCCCCTACCCCCAGGACAGAGGCAAAGATCAGTGAGTGTGCTTCCTCTGGGGCCCAGTTAGGTGGGCTCAGTTCATGCCTCTCCTTGGGCTTCCCCAGGGGGAAGACCTCTTGGTCAGGAGTTCGGAACTCATCTACTCGGGAGAGCTGACATGCATTATGCATCCTCAGGCCAAGAGCCATCAGAGAATGTTTTTCCTCTTTGACCACCAGCTCATCTACTCTAAGAAGGTATCAGAGTCACTGAACCCTGGACACAGGGTGACCTTGCATAAAGCAGGAAGACGGCTGGGGGTAATTCCTGTCCCCAAATTCTGCCCAACCTTCCCAGGAGGGGCCTATAGGGATAGGAGGGTGGCTTTGCAGGGTGGGCCTGTACCAAGGACTGACAAGATGGACTGACCAGGCCCTGTGCTGTTGAACACCATAGCTCTGCCTTCTTGAGCCTAGCTTCTTCTCAAGCCACTGCCTCTTCTCCCCCTGAAAGGCATGCTACCCCTCCCTAGCGATGTAAACTTCTTGAAGCCTTCTGAAGCCACCTTCAGGGACTAAGGAGCCCCCACCTGTGGCTGCTAGCTTTTACTCCTCTCATTGAAGCCTGACTGAGATCTCTTTGCCTGGCCACCCGCCCCCCCCCCTATAGGGCATACAGCCCAGCCTGCACTGTTTCCATGGCGCCTCCCCCAGCCTCTGCCTGTTTATTCTTGAAGATGGGAACTAACTTCCAGGCCAGGCATAGCAGAAGCATCAGAAACGGTTTCCTGAATGACAGACTCCTCCCAGGGCAGGGGCTGGACCAGGTGCATTCATGAATTCAGAAAATAGTCGGGGACCCACTTGGGATAGAGGTGGGCAAACAGCGAGTAAGCTGTCCTGTGTTGGGAACCCCCAGGACCCTTCTTATAAAGAAGAGCTTATTTTACACATGGCCCTGGGAGGGGTTTGGAAAGGCCAGGAGGGTCCCAACCAGCAGGCTGGGCACCACCTGACAGGATCTCTGGCAGGACCTACTCCGCCGTGATGTGGACATGGACTGCCTGGAGGTCGTGGATGTGGAAGATGGGAAGGACAGAGACCTCCATATGAATATTAAGAATGCCTTCAGGCTGTGCTGTAGCACCACAGGAGAGAACCACCTGCTATGTACCAGGAAGCCTGAGCAGAAGCAGTGCTGGCTCAAGGCCTTGCTCAGTGAGAGGGAGCAAGTACGGATCGACAAGGAGACAGGTGTGTGAGCCTGTTCAGCCTTGCCCTCCTAATCTAACATGAGGCAGTCAGGACCACCTTGAAACCGTGAGATAGCCCCTGTCTATAGTACAAGGGCCCTTCTTAACCCCAGGAGTGCACTGGCACTGCCTTCGTGACCCTGCTCGAAGGAAGCCCTTAGTCTCAGCATCCAGCCCCAGGGCCATGCCATTTACCCGGTTGTGTTTGGGGTAGGGAGTTGCTTCTATAGGATTTAAGCTTCTCTGCTCAATTGTTAGGACCTGGGGGAGCCTCCTTCCAAAACAAGCTCTGAGAGAACACTGATGTGGGACTTGGGCACTGCCCTCCAAAACCCTCCCTCAGCCATCAAATGAACAGAGCATCTTTCCCCCATTTGCTCATGGACTTTGCAAAGCACAGCAGTGCTAGGCCATCTCTGGCTCTCAGAAAGGACTGGACATGAACAAGGGGTAAGGGAGGGGACATCAGGGATCTGGTGAGGGCAGAGGTGAGATGCTTTGTTGGGGCCCTTTGTGCACCTTCATGCCTCTCCTCTGCCTCAATGTGGCACCAAAGCAGACAGACTGAGGATAGCAGCAGTCCCCTGCTTGAGTCTTGGGCCCTGTGGGAGGTCCAAGAACCAACAGAGGACTGTCCTTCGGGCTCCAGGAAATGGGAGATGGGCTTTTGACAGGAATGCAGAATATAAAGCACAGGACACATGGCCAGATTAGGTCCCAGCTACCTCCCCTCCCTGGCAGGGCCAAGTGCCTGGGTGGCCATGCCACAGGCTTGTGCAGCCCAGGTGGGAGAGCAGCAGCTCATGGCAAAGATTAAGGGGGGGTGGTGAGGAACAGGTAGAAGGGCTGCCTCATCCTTGACCTGAAAGCCCACATGGTGCTTCTATGTCAGGCTTCTCCATCACCGAGCTACAGCGGAAGCAGGCCATGCTGAATGCCAGCAAGCAACAAACTGCCGAGAAACTTAAAGGTACCCCCTGCTCTCATCTTCTAGGCTGCTCACACCCACCCTGACTTGAGCCATGACCAGTATGTGAGGTGTTTCCCTGAAAAGTTGGTAATAAGGGGCTGCCAGTGGTAAAGACTTGCATGGCTCCCTGGGAAGGAACAAATGCCCCCATCTCCTCAGACAGGTGGAGACCCTGAAATGTTAAGTGGGCATACCATGAGGAATCCAGAGGCCACATCTTCCCATATCCTCTAAAGGCCATGGAAGCTCATTAGTGGCCCAGGTGGTCTCTGGATGTAGTCAGCCCCAAACCATGCTGGAAGCAAGGGTGGCTAAACTGTCACCTGTGGGAAATGTAAGGCAGAACTGTGGAATGGGCCCTGGTCCACCTCCCCACAAACTGCAGGCTGTCACTTTGCCCTGTGCCACTGTGACCTGCTGTCTTTTTCCTGCCCAGCCACCAGGCAGCCCTACTACTCAACACACCAGAAGCACCCAGCACGGCCTGCTAGCCTACCCCAGCAGCAAGTCTTGGTGCTGGCAGAGCCCAAGCGGAAGCCTTCTACCTTCTGGCACAGCATCAGCCGACTGGCACCATTCCGAAAGTGACCCTCACAAACTGAAAACCCCCACCTCTGGCCTAACAGCACTTTGGACCTGTCCCAGTAGAGGGCCAAAACACACTCAGCTACCCCTGAGCCCTTTCACATCCAGCCCTCCTTTGCCTATTTATTTTGCACACTAGGAGTAGGGTCAAGGCAAGGAGATGCCCGGAGTCGCTAGCAGTGAGCCAAGTTCTGTTTCCCTGTGCAATTTCTTCCCACACTCCTGGTACACTGGAGACCATGCTACGATAGCAGACAGTACCCCAAATACACAGCCCCCTCCCACAGGTCTCCTGCTTGGCTCTACTGCACCCTTCTACCAGCTCAAGGTTAGAGCTGCCCTCTGCTTTGGACCTGGAAGCTCTGCCTCAGAACCACCCACTTTTCCTCTTACAGCCCTGGGCGAACATGATCTGGCCACTTTGGATCTTCTTCTTTGGAAATCTAATTATCCTTCATCCTCCTCCTTACTGTGGGGAGGGCAGACAGACTCTGCAGCCTTCAGTTTTTGCAAAGCCCTCCACTTTCCTTGCAGGTCCTGGCCCTAGCCAGTGGTGTCAAGCACTACCTCTGAGGGCGGAAAACAGATACTCTGTGCTTAGATGCCTGGCCCAGGGCCCACCCACTTCCCCCCAGCCCCTCTCTGGACATTCCCTGCTGTTGGATGGCCTCTTCATTTGTGATATTTATAGTGGGAAGAAAACAAAACGGTAGTCAGCTGCGTACTTCTGTTAGGGTTTATAGCCAGTCCAACTGTAGTTGTGGGTTGACTCCAGAACCTGGTGCCTGTTTTTCTTTTTTGGATTTCACTGTTTTGTTTTTCTAACAATGGAAAAAGAGAGTTGTTAGTGACACAGAAAGATTGCCTTACCCCCGTAAGCATCAGAAGCCATAAGGAATGAATTCTGCATCTCAGCATCTAGGACCTGCCAACCCCAGGCAGAAATGTGGGAGCAGAGGGAGCACTGCCAAGGAGCAAGGAGTATGTTGGTACAGAAGACTCACCTGCAAGAATTCAGCAGCATGTACAGTCACTGTTGCCTACTAAATATGCTCCAAGCCAGAACTACATTTAATTTCATAAACAATCTTGTGAAAAGTAACCTAGATGCCAGTCACTGTCAACATGACCTACCCTTTCTGCCCCTATTATCCCATTTCTACCCCAATACTTTCTTTGCAGATAATGAGCCCCAGGGCCTTTTTTGGGGGGGAGGGAGGCATGGCATGTAAGGTCTCAAGCTCGTTGTACAACTCAGCTGTCAGACCCTGGATGAGGCTAAGGTGGCTGGGCAGGCTCTAGAAGGCCATTTGGAGTTGGGGAGGACAGGGGCAATGAAGGGTGAAGTTAGATCAGGATGAGTCTATGTTCCCAGAGCCTGTTTAGATGTACGATGAAAACTAGGTCAGTCCCCTTCCACAGAGGGCCCACTGACTCAGGGAGGGCTGCTCCCCAGAGACTACAGTTTGCTAAAATTGGGAAATAAGAGTCTGGGGGATAAGTGATACTTAATCTTTTGGAGGCAACTTCATCTGATAAATGGGAAGAGAATATGACTTCCCAGAAGTATCTAGGCCATATTACCTAGGAGGAAGAGGAGCCCAAAGCAGTTTCCCTTACTTTCTCTCCCTGGGAAATAATCCTCTACAACCAAAGGCCTCTACCACACCCTTATTCACTGCCAGGGTCACTTAGGGGCTGAAGATCACAATGGCCTTCTTCCTGAAACCCCACACATTCTCCTACCTTGAGACCAGAAGGTATATACACCACCTTCCAGACAGGCCAAGCTACTTCTAAACAAAATCTCTATGGAAAAATCATGAAAATCAGAATATGCAACACAAGTTAATCTTTATTGAAAATTGCAGTTTTAATACATAACAATTCTTGTTACAATAAACGTGCTTTTAATAATTTTAAATCTGAGCTCATCTACTCATCAGATTGCATAAAAAATTAAAATAGGAAGAATTTACACATAATTGAACTGGCTCAGGATGGATTTATCCATTCCTTTGTATTGACACAGTAAGTTCAATGCAGAGGTGAGGGATGCCTTTAACACCGGAAGACAATGCTGACTTAAGCTTAAAAAAGTACCAATAGTATGGTCTAGAAAACAGTATTTAAGTCATTATCTTAAAAAAAAAAAAAAGGAACCGTTTCCTATTTAATCACAACCCATAAGGCTCCTTCGGGCCTCTCTGCCAAGTGGTTGTCATAGTAATGCTGCTGGTAGTGCAGGGCAACTGCTCTCCAATCTGGTCCCAAGCATTCTACTGACCACTAGTCTGCACAAGGACCCACAGGAGGTGCTGAGGGGGCCAACACCCTCACAAAAGGACTTCCATCTAAGCTCCAAGAAGCCAAGACCAACACCTGTCATCTACAGTGCCCAATGCCATGTAGGCAGGCAGCTGGGAGCACATGCTGTCTCCTGAAGCTCCTCTTGGGCCCCCTAGACAGAGATATACAGAAGGCCTTCTTTTGCTTCTCCCTCTGTCTTCCTGTGCCAAGGTGGACAGGGAATCCTAACTAACCTTTAATTCTGTAGATCAAAAAAAAGTAAGGTAACCCCACTGGTTTTCTGTTCCTCAAATGAAGTAGAGGTGGGAAAAAGGGACAAACACTCCAAAATGGGTATAGCTAAGATTAACGTCACAGTTTTCTACCCAAAATGATCACACTCTACCCTCAAGAGTTATCTGCAGTATTTTCAAGAGTCTACTGCACCTTCAGAAAGCTTAGGCTAAAAAATACACAATTTGGGGGTGGGGGGGAGGTATGACACACAACCACATACAAAAAAAATCTGAGATGTGCTGGACAAGAAAGCTAATAAGCACTCTGCCCCTCCCTTTAGCCTCACTTCATTCTTTAGAAACCACCTCCGACCCTAACCCACCCCCAGAGAAAGCACCAGAGAGAAGAACCAGAAAACTGCTCTCATCTCATGCCCCTAGAAGCTGGTGATGTTGAACTCCCTGGAACCTATCCTTGCACCCACTAGTTATCAGACAAGGTATCCTATCTTGTCTAGATCATACCCAGGTTGGCAATGATGAAGTATCCAACCACCAGCTGCCAGAGGAGGAGAAGTTTGCTCAAATGGTCAGGGTTAATACTGTTTGCAAATGTTTAAAATGGACAGATAAAGAAGTCTGAATTTCTCAATTAAAGTAGATCTTAGTATTTACACAGCTGGTGTATGCCACCTTCACGCCAGCACCTTCAGAGAAACCAAGTGTGGACAATACTACCAGACACTTGTACATTTCCAATTATCTTTAAGAATGTATTTTCTCTCACTACTTAAGTGTTCCCAAAATCACCCCCTTAGACCTCACTCATCACAGTCAAATGACGCTGCCAGATGGAGCAAGGCACTGTGTGCCCAGCTTGAGGAAGGCAGGAAGCTGACTAGTGCCAACCCAAGTGGCAGGCTCTCTCATCGCCTGTAAATGCTATATTTGCATAGCACTCAATAAACGGTGTCACGGAATAGCAAATGGTAGCCCTAATGACCCTACCAACCACAAGAGACACAAAAGGTTCTGGAAGTATCTTCACACTGACGAACCTACCTTGGCCAATGCTGGGCTCCTTTGTTAGCAAGTTTGACTGCTAAACATACAGCAACCCAGCCCAGATCCAAACAAGATTTCCAGTAACACAGAAAGCAACATCTATACATCTGATGTAAAGACCTTGCAGACCTTGGGTTAAAAGTTTTACAACAATTTTTTAAAAACATCTATGATGTCATCCATGCATACAGAAATGAGGCCCTTTGCTTGCCTGTTTCAACTTCTAAAGAGCCACAAATCAGCTGAAGGACTATTAAATCAGAAATGTCACATACAAAAATCCAAAATTTCTCAGAATGTTCCAAGAATGTTCCACTACTGTGCTTGGGATCCCAAATTTTACAACTTTATAACTTTGACTCAAGTTGTATTCCTTGATTAATTATATTGGAGATAAACACTGTTGAAATTACAAACAATCTCTGATAGTTTTGTTACTATTCATATGTCTAGATCCTTACCTGACAGACAAGCTCTACTTTTTATCATCATTAAGGTACTTATTGATAGCTGATACCCTGATAGTTTCATAATTGAAAAGAGTTCCTCATGGATGTATTCCACATGCCATTTTTTCCATTTTCAAAAAGTATTTGAAAACCAGCTAACTCCCCAAATGAATTTCATAAAAGGGAAAAAAGTTGAAAAATTAATGGAAAAAGAAGTGCTCAGGAAGCTAATATAAATGAAGAAAAAAATGCAACCTGCTCATCTTTCTCTTGAAAACACTGTTTAATTCAGCACTTGTGAAAACACTCACCCCATGTGTGCCAATAGCCAAGCAAGTCGAAGAGACATCCTAATAAGTTCTTACTATCCCCTCCTGAATTCAAATGACTCCACTACTTATAGGGAGTCATGTGTGTTGTATGGTTTTCCATTTTCTGTTGTTTGAGCCTTTTGTTTAAATGCATACTAAAATTTCAACTATTTTCTCCTAATCTATTATAACTAAACTGGAAAAACTGACTTTTCTATCAATCAGTCAGATCAGCCCCTGGAACCCTTACAGCCTTTTATTGTAAACCCATTGACTACACAAATGGAATTATCAATACAGACTTGAAAAACAAGAACAGAGTCAAACTGTACCTGGGGTAAATGTCTGCTACACACACGCATGTGTACACACACACGCTAAGGTGGTTTAAGTGCTCATAAAGCAATCAGTAAACAGCCTATGTTAACAGACATTAGGAATAAACAATTTTGTTTACAATGATCCATGCAAAATATTCCTAAACTACTTACTATTTAAAATTTAAAAAAAAAATAAAAATAAAATAAAAAGAAGTTACCAACGGCTCAGTGGTGTCAACCAGGGCTTACCTCTAGTGAGGTAACCCCCCAACCAGCATTAAAGCCCCTGACCTAGCTGCCAGAGACATGAGAGCAGAATCCCCTCCCCCAAATACAGCACTCAAAATAAGATCCCAGCCCCATAATAGCCCAATAGCCCACCAAAAGGGATCACAATTTCCATCACCACCAATTACACCTGATAACAAAGAAAATCACTCCAATCATTTTAAGTGGAGCATATTTTGGGAGGAAGGGGGACCCCTCCGATTTCTTATGTGCAATATTCTGATTCTAAGATGAAAATTCTTTCCTAAGAATTGTGGCTGGCATAAATGGACTCTGATCCTGTCTGGCCCTTCCTGCAGTCCAACCTTATTTCATGATAAATGCTTTCAGCTGCAAAAAGAGATAGCAGAAAAAGCTCACAAACCATAGATACCACTTCTTCAACCTCACATTACCATCCAAGTCTCAGAGGACACATCACCAAGGGGAAAAACCCCAAGAAGAACTACATGTTTCTACATTTTCAGACACATCCACAGCCCTGACAGAAAGTATGCATATACCATTGTACAAGAAACATGAGGAATTTTAAATAAAATTTTGTTTCCTTTCAATAATTCTTAAATATACAACTTTGTCCATAACACATAATCTTTGCTGTTCTTTTGGGGGGGAGGGGACAGCAACACCTACATGTTCTTCAGACTCAACATTTCTCAGGGAGACAAAAAAAAAGGAGGGGAATGATTTTCTAAGCTCAGTAAAGCAAAGGTCAATGCCTCCTCCAAGTGTGACTGTTTCTCTTTCATACATGTCCCTTGCCAGGAAAATAATTTAATTCTACACAGGACGCTTCCACTACAGATAGAGAAAACATCTGTAATTTGTAATGAAAAATTAGATAACAAAGAAAACTGCTTTGCTGATACACAAATCATCTCCCTGCCCCTAAATGTACTGGCCACACAACTCTATTTGGTGATGATCTTCAAGAATGTCCAGATCACATTGACCTCAACAAGCCTATATGGAAAGGGAGCCAATAAACCTGATGTGCAACCCAGGCAGCTGCAGCCTTCCCAACTTTCCCGATCCTGTTACTTATTCCCCCTAGTACAGTCAATGTGAAAGAAAAAGAAAATTAAAGTCCATGTTCCTAAGTGGCAACCCACATCAACCCCACAGGGTTGAAGAATCATCTAGGGTATTTTAGATGCTCTATGGAAAATTCACTTTTACACTTATAACTTTAAGACTTTGCATACATTACAACAGTGCATTAGTGATACAAGTTGTAAAATACTTTTCCATTCCTTTGGATTTTGCATATGATGGTTTTGCATCAGTCACTGCAGGTAGATTGAGCAAGCTTTTGTTTTTTTTTTAAAACATGCATTCAACTAGATATGGTTCAGAATAGAATAATACTCCCCTTTTTATCATTATAGTTAGCTAAAAAAACTTGCCACGCAGTCCACAAAACAGGATTTGCTTTAAAACCAACCCACGGAGTTAGTTGAAGACTACCAGTGCTGGGACCCGCTAGGCCAGAATGTTGTAGTGTTTAGCTAAGTGTCGAGAGCATCAAGAAGAGAGTCCTGGTTGGAGGCACAAGGCCTGCAGCACCAGCTGTGAAACCTCAATGATGTGACTGCACAGCTCCATCCTCAAACCTGGGGGCAGAGAAAGAAATGCAGTCAAATAGAGTTCTTTGGCACCACTGCTCAGAAGAGGAAGTTTTAAATGAAAGATGATGAAATCCACTAAGACCACAAAGGGCAGAATCCTCCCAGAGAGCCACTGAGGTTGGAAAAGACCACTGTACATGCATTCCTATCTGCTTCACAGGTTACAACAGGAGTCAGAGGGCTGTAGGAGGGTGTGCAAAGAAAAAGAAAAGAGGTAAGGTCAAAGTGGTTATTGTATACAGTAATTACATAATGGTTTCTTTTATTTCTTGAGTCCCAAAAGAAAAAAATATAAAAACTGCACTGTCCTTGGATCAACAGTTAGATAAGATTTTTCTACCTGGCATGTTAAATATGTGGTATGCTTAGGATTCTCCCCTGAAAAAAAGCACATTTAGTAAAGTGCCAACCCGAGCATTTGTCAGTCACTTACATCTGCAGGGTAATCACCACTGAGGGGGCACATAGCTGTACGTGGGTGTTCCTGGGGCCCGGTACGTTGGCACAGTGACCGGGTGGGGGGTGACAGGAGTTGGGGAGTGAGCAGTCAGCAGGGTACCTAGAAGAAAGAACAGCGTATCTCACTGGTTGGCAAGAGTGTCCACACAGGAAGCTAGATGGAGCCACTGCAGGGAAGACCAGCTTTACCATTACCATGCCATGTCACCATGAGAAACAAGGATTCCAAACCATATGAGCTGCTGAGAAATACATGAATCCATTTAAGGCCAATCACTGCTTCAAACTTAGACAAGCACAGCTGGCAGCTCCCATGCACCCAATCTACCTGCATGCCCACACCAACCAATCCAGGGCCTGCTGTCCCCACCCTCTGTGTGTCTCAAACACACAGTTTCTGTCTATGCCAGTCTCCTTTGCCTTGAGAGTTCAATATAGGAAAACTAAATAAAATTGAGACTCAGGGCAGAAACACAAATAGTATTCTGAAATGCTTTTCTCCCTGGCACAATTTCCTTATACTGAAATAATGCCTAATAAAACAAAGAACAGTACTTAAAAAGAAAAAAAAAATATGTCATGGGCAACTAAGTACATCCTGTGTGGACATGAGCTCCCTAACACAGACAACTAGGGCTGAGCTTTAACCCAACTCAGGTAACCAAAGGAAGTGACATTTACCAAAAGACCAGAAATCAGATAAACCCCTGGGGAGCTCCATGGAGATGGGACCATTCTAGCCAGAAGTCTCATTTCACCATGACTTATTTTCCTAACCTATGTTGTTGCAGTTATCTGCTGTTGAGTCGGACTCAACTCATAGTGTGACCCCTCCTTGGGTTTCCGAGGTGGTATCACTATGGAAGTACGTTGCCCAACACTCCTTCCAAGGAGTGGCTGGTGGGTTTGAACCACCAGCCTTCTGGTCAACGGTCAAGTGCCTTAGGCACTACACTACCAGAGCTCCTTTTCCTAACCTATGGGCCTTGGGAAGTAAACCCAATGAATGACAAAGTAATCCTACAAGCAGCAGTTATTTCTATTAACATACGCCGAATTTTCCTAGGATCCTAACAATCTTCCAATTAACACAACTGGCCTGCAAAGATAGCCCACACTAATGTCAGCATTCAAGAGGGCAGCTCCACCTGGAACACTGTGTTCACTTCTGTTCAAACTTTATTTGCTGGGCACTGGGTCACTCTTTTCCCTGCTGCTAGATGCAGCAGCTCACCAATAAAGTGGCACAATCAAATCCAGAAAGTGCTAGTCCATACTCCAGAAAAGAAAAGGAGATAAGAAAAAGATAATTTGCTGTTCCTTCACTGAAGAATTTTATGTCCTTCTACACAACCATAGCCATAGAAAACCTGAGCCACAGGTCAGAAAGCATTAGCAAGTATTGCCTTCCTACCCCTCTCATATGCCTTTTGCAAAGTCAGTTAAGAACAAGGACTCACCTGCTGACATGGCCATAGTGGTCCCAGCCACCATGCCCATGGTCACTCCATTGCCTCTGGGAGGGGGGATGGGTGCAGGGTACACAGTTGCTGGCATGCCATTGGGCTGCACCACTGTAGTGTGATGGATGACATGAGGAGGTGCTGCATACAGGGGTTGTGTATAGTACGTGCCTTGCTGTGGGAGAAGAAGAGAGACAAGTGCAAGAGGGTCCCATTCCCTGTGGGTCACAGCCCAAATGGAAAAGACCCACAGCACACAGAGTGCTGAAGAAAGGTCCACAGCATACACCCAAGCCTACCTGTGCATATGGGCTCTGCTGGGGGTAGGCACTTCGCACAGGGTACACAGCGGTCTGGTAAGGGTTGGGGGAGGAGGAGTATGGTGGCACCGTTCCACTGGTGGGTGAACAGGAAACTTTGTAAGGTGTGCCAGGAGTATAACCTGAAATAAAGAAGCCGAATAGCCTTAGTTCAAATATGCATTCATTGCCAACCCATGCCAGGCTCAGGGAGAGGATTAAGTGTATAGGAAGGGATGAGGCTGTCCTCCAGGCTGGACCAGAATCAAGAGCTGACAATGCTATGGTCATGCCCCTCCCTCCACTAAGACTGTGACTTCATATCTTTTTGAGTATGTGTGTATGTCATGGGGGCTGTTTTGGGGAAAAGTTCCACAGAGTATGCTTAAATTCACATAGCAACAACAAAGAAATATGTGTCCTGTCTTGTTGGAACATAAATTAGTACAGACCTTCTAGGGTACAATTTGGCATTGAAAGTATATGTATCTTTTAATATCACAATTCCACTTCTAGAAATTTATCTTAAATAAACAAAGATAAATACATAGATTTAACTGTAAGCAAGTCCATTTCATGTTGTTTAGTACATTAAAAACAAAAGGAAAAACTTTGTGAAATACCACGGGGCTGGGTAAATACTCTATGGTTGAAAAGACATCTAGGTCAAGACAGGAGGTTAAACACACTCATTTGCTTTGACCTTACCCAAAACTACATGAAAATGGCAATAAAACATTGAAAAATAAAAAGACAAAGTCACAGAGAGCAAAAATGGGAGAGAAGACAGCATTCTGGAACCTAAATATTTCAGAACTAAAAAGGATAGGTCAGAACTGATTTAGCACACTCAAGAAAATTGCTACTCTGTCAGTAGTAGTAGTAGTATCATGGCACAATTTATACCACAGGCCCACCACCCAAAAAGCCTAGAAACCATCACCACTTGCTTCCAGACACTGATGGAGCTACATACTAGAAGAATGACTGAGACAGTCCACCTAGGGAGTAGTAAGACACATGGGTCCAAGTCCTGAGCCCACACAAGGCAAGTGCCCTTCTTGATCCTAATGGGTAAAAAAGAATCTCTGGACAGCTATATGAACAGCAGCTTTATTCAAAACCAAAAGGTGGACATGACCAAAATGCCCATTAGATAAACAAACTGTGGTATATCATTATAATAGCAATAAAAAGGACTGTATATCCAAAGGACCTGAAAGGAGAGATTCAAACAGACTCTTATATACCCATGTTCACTGCAGCACTATTCACAATAGCCAGAGTAGAAACAAAATAAATGCCTATCAACAGATAAATGGATAAAAAAAAATGTGGTACACATGTTGTTGTTGCTATGTGCCGTGGAGTTGGACCTGACTCACAGCGACCCCTCCTTGGGTTTCCAAGGCAGTATCACTACGGAAGTAGATTACCCAACCTTCCTTCTGAGAAGTGGCTGGTGGGTTTGAACCACCAGCCTTCTGGTTAGCAGTCAAGCGCCTTAGGCACTACGCTACCAGAGCTCTTGTGGTACATATATATACAATGGAATATTGCTCAGCCAGTAGGAAAAATGAAGTCCTGATACATGCTACGACATGGATGCAGCTGGAAGACATTTTGTTGAGTGAAATAAATCAATCACAAAAGAACATTGTACATGACCTTGCTTATATATAAAAAGACAATGTACAGAAAACAAAAAGCTTATTAGTGGTTACGAGGGGTGAAAGGAAGGAGAAAGGGAATAGGAAGGCTAACAGTGACGGAAATATCATGTTGATTAAGGGTAGCGATGCTTAGCCAATTATTATAATTGCTTTCATTAAGTTGTACATTATAAAAGGTTGAATTGGCCAAAGTTGTGTGATAGATATATTTATAATGACAATAACAACAAAAAAGAGTAGCTGCTAAGGCTGATCATGTACAAATAAAAATATCATGGGATTTGGTTTCTTGATTTGGAGATTTGGGGTTAATGATTTCATGGGACATCCCAGTTCATTGACCTAATAATGGCGTGTAGTGCCTCTGTTCTACCTTCTACTTCGATGCATAGTACCTGGGATCTTAAAAGCTTGCAAGCGGCTATCCAAGGCTCAACAATTGGTCTCTATTCGCCTGGAACAACAGAGGAAGAAGGAGTCAGGAATAGGAGGAAATATGAAATGTATACTTAATTGCCTCCATGAACAACTGCCTCTTTTACCATGAGACCAGAAGAATGAGATAGTGCCCAGTTAGCATTACTAAACAATTTGATCAAAGATTCCGTGGAAGAATCCTGATCACAAGGGAGAAAGTATAGAACAGAATTCTAAATTCTCAGATTCCAGACTTCTAAGGCACTTGACTGCTCACCAGAAGGCTGGCGGTTCAAACCCATCAGCCACTCCTCGGAAGGAAGGTTGGGCAATCCTACTTCCGTAGTGATACTGCC